AAAAAGCCACTGATAAAAGTGTACGGCGTTAAGGTGGATGCAGACCTCAGCACTGCTTGTTTGGCGCTTCATTTGACCCGGTGTGGAGCTACCTGCAGTGTTCACAGCACAGGGGCCGTGCGCTGCTGTGCAGGAAAGGCCACTTCAGTGACAGGGAAGGATGGTTGACCTGTCTACATCTTCCTACACTTGCCACAAGCTCTCCTGCAAACAAGCAAAATCTCAGTGCAAGGAATTAAACTTTGGAGGAAAAAAACCATCTATGCACAGCCTTTTCCGTGTAGCAACACATGCTAATTCCTATCTTGACCTCTACATAAAGGGAGAATTAGTGAAAACAGTAATGCTGTTTTTAGATAGTGCTAAGATAAATCTTAAGTAACTAAGTAACAATTCTGCTAGGCCAAAGAGAGGAGGAAACACTATAAAAAAGAGAGTAAACTATAATAAATTAAGCTTTAAACCTGAAGACAATACACCATGAATTTGCTTGGGAAACATTGGTTGCATTTTGCCTCTAGAATTAGAAAAGGGGAGAATTAATTGTGTCTGAATTTGAGAGTCAGCTGCTAGTAACTTTAAAATTTTTGCTAAAACAGGGCATGCCTAAGTTGAGCTTTGATTTTTTTGGTAAGCAACATGATTAATTCAGAAGAAAAAAAATCATGATGTTTTACCGTATTTACAGATAGACAAACTTTCATTTATGCTAAAACTAACAGTCAGCGAGTCCAAACCTAATTACCTTAACAGTATTTCAAGTAGCCTAAAGATGCTGAAACTCCTCAAATATTACCGTAAAATCAATCCAGCAAAGAAAACATAATGAGCATTCATTACTTTTCACAGGCCTTTTTTTAATGAAAAGAATGTTATTTATTAATACTGCATAAATTACTGATAAAATATCTGTAACACACAACAACCCGCCCTGTTACACAATTAACAATATTTAAGCTATTAGGCAAACACTGTATCATTTTTTCTTTCCTCTTTTCAGAAAAATAAATACAACCAAAACCTGAATATTTAACTCAAGTCTATTTTGTTGAGCTCCTTTATGGAAAGCTGCATTTCCTGGAAGTGGACATGGCGAGGCGAGTTTTAGGCAGGCATAGCTTAAAGCACAGCTATTTGTTTACCGACTGCTGTGCGTTAGTCCTCAGCCATCAGTAGTTACTATGTGCACTCTCTTACAGATTTTCATGATTGCTACTGGACTGCCTGCCTATGGAAGGGTATTTGTGCATTTAAATATAAAACCATTCAGAGCTGGTATAAAGGTCTGTCCCTGTATAAATCCTTCCTTTTATATAGATACAGAGTTGCCATTACAATCCAACCAGGTCTGAAGCTACTATTATCTATTTTTTATTCTACAGCTATCCTTTTAACTAGGTGTTCCATAGGTTACCATTGATGAAGTACATACTATTAATAGTAGGTAATTATTTCAGAAGATAAGTTGCTTTTGAAATATGGTCTTTTATGCAGTTACATAAAAGAAATAGGTTTTCATATTTTTGACCAATCCTTATCCATAATGGAGTATTCCCAGAGGTCCACCCACCATTCTGCCAAGCGTTCCGATTCGGGTCTCATTGTACACATGCTCAGACTCCTTATACACATGCTCAGAGGCTTTTAAAGACATCCAGGATACTTACAGGGCAGCTTTGGACAGGAGGCTCACTTTACAGTTTTCAGTTCAGAATTTCAGCAACCTGACTTACTCTTCACCACCTTTAAGAGCACAGTTTTCTTCCATTCATAGAGCTCTGGCCTCCAAGAGACCTGTCTCCCTTCTGTTAAGGAAAAAGCTCTACTTTTGAAGGTTTAATGCATTTTCACATTCTTAACCTTTGGCAATAAGCATCATTACTATTTCCTTACTTTATGGTTAAATTTATTTCTATATCATTACTGTTTTACAATCTTTTCATTATGTGACATTTCCTACAATATGTGGTTAAGAGGCCTCTTACCTTACTATCGAGATTATGCTGCGAGTTAAACTGTCCTTACCTACACAGTTTTCCATTTGTTGCTTCTTAAGGCTTCTTACAAATTTTCCCAGTTCTTGTCCTTAAGTTCTGAATTAGAGTTTTATGAAAAAGGTACATTGTCATTGATACCTATTACTTAAAACAAAAGGATTTAATTCTGAAAGCCTTTTGATATCAAAACAAATGAAATCTCATTTATTCTAGGGCATGTTTGCATTGCTTCAGCAAGATCCTTCCAATTAGGAGAGCACTATCTATCATGCACTGATCATCACAGAGTTATTTATTTAGAAGTGACACTTTTGGACTATCTGACAGTTCATCCTACCATTAATTACAACATCATTTAATATAACTGTTAATATAACCCCTTGGTTAATTCAATAATTAATGGCTATTAGATGCAATCTTCTTCAGCTGGGTGACAAATATTAGATATACTAACTGATATACCTTTGCAAACAATTTTTTTTTTCCTTCATTCATGTTCTTTCAGTTCCACTTCAATCCTACAATCCTATTCACTTCCTTCATCAGTATTTGAGATTTTCTTTACCAGGCTAGTGAGAAGTTCAGTATCTGGCTAACAAATTTCTGCAGCTTTCTTGTTTTGGCTCAAGTTTCCTGAGCTCTTGCTGGGAAAGAGCTACCTTTTTGAGACAGATAGAAGAGAAAACAAAAAACAAAAACACCACTTATTAGTCTAGAGCTGAGGGAGCGCTGCTTCCAGGTCTGTTTCTCAGATTAGTTCTATCAACTTCAGCATTTCAATATTGATCCTATCAGCAGTCACGAAACAGCAGCCCCAGCTGTAATGTGTCAATCATACATTTTAAGCACTTGTGAATTTTCACTTGCTCCTTAAGTGATGTACAACTCTCATATTACATTTATTTTCACCAATAGCTGTGTGTGTCACACACATCACACTTGACCATACTTGGACAGCACCCCATCCCTTTCACCCTACCCTCAGTGAGACCCCAGCTGAAACACACCTGAACTGCACTTATTCCTCGCCTTGTTACTGTTGCAGATTAAACACGACACTTTCTGCAAGATTTCACTCACAGAGAGCGACACATGCACCTGTCTCCCACTGCCAACTTTCTGTCTGCATTGAAGCTGAAATGCCCTCCCTACCATGTCCTACTGCTGGCACAACCCAGGCAAATAATTTTATGGGACATTTTCATTTATTAGTATGCTAATCTACTATGATATTTCAACTGTCATTTGACTCATCTCAGATAACTAGTGCTATGTTTTAAAGACCTATGGTTTGGGACATTCACTTTCAGTCTGAATCTGAGTTCTTTTTCTGGCACTCATTTCCCAGGTCTTAGTTCATTAGTCCTTTGAGTTCGGCCAACTAAGCATGTATGTTCTTGTTAGGAGTAGCTATTTTGGTAACTCTGTAATGTCTATGAATCAACAACTGTTGACTTTTGGCTTTGACTCCAAATGTGACAGAGACTGGATTCCACACAGGTGGAAGCCAAAGTACTATGGAGTATCTGACCCATTTCTAACAATTGTTAACATTTCTACTGCAACTTTTGAGAACTTCTGGCAATATACAAAGAAATCTTTGTCTTCCAGTTTCCAACCTTGTCCTCATTCTAGGGCAGATCACTTGACCTTCAGGCCAGTCCCCCACAAGCTTTTTCCTTTGGCCCTGCCTCCTGTTGCAGCTGCCTGCAGCTGCCCCCGCGCTGCGAGCAGCCAGAGGCAGGGCAGAAGCCCCAGGGCACAGAGCAGCGCTGCCACTTGTGCTCGCTGCAGCTCCTGCCGTGGTGCCAGGGGAAGCACAGCCCTAAGCGCCGCAGTGGGGCACGTTTAACAGACCACTGGAGGCCAGAGAGCAGCCCTCTCTGCTAATGCCACATTAGCAAGTACTCATCAGGCTTCCAAGCCTTCCCACTGCAAGGCAGAAGGCAAGGCACCCAGGTGACTCTGCTGCCATTTTCAGAGACGAGAGAACTGTTTTATTACTGTATTAAGTTCAGGATACAGCCAGATGATGGGGACATTGCTCATAAGCTGCAGAACCCTACCTGGCAATATCTGAATGAATCAGCTTTTCCCCTTGTCCTCAACTTTTTGGTGAATGATGGGAGGCAGAGGGAAGGAATGTGCACGTATGCACTGCATGACCTCAAGAGTAAGCTCAAGGTAGAAAAGACAAACAACTCTTTATATATCATTATCTCAATTGGAAACTACTTGAACATTTCTTGCATGCATGACCCAAGCTTTTCAGTTTTCCATTGGCTTGCTAAATTACTTTTCAACTGCTAAAAATTAGGCTTTAAGTTATAAAGAAAAAAAATTTAATTTGCTTAGTTGCAATAACTTTTATACTAGTTTTTGTAACAACTAATGCAGAATGGATTTTTTTTTCCCGACTTAGATCAGTGCAATTTTCAGAAGCAATTATTATAACTTGTGCTCCCAAAATACCTTCTAGAATTTCATCAACTTGGATTTTTAGTTGCTTTCCTGCCCTCTAGTGCTCATATCTATTTAAACCTGTATCGAAGACTGCTTTTGGAAATCACTATCTAAGCAGTCCTAGTGAAATACAACTCTGTTTACTGCCACATTACAAATGATCTAAGCAGGGCTTTTATCGTTGCTCATTTAGGCAACGCACTTGATAAAAGGTCAGAATTTTCATGTTATCACTCATTTTACAACACCAACTTGAGGCAGTTTTCTTTTTCAGCTTTGGGATAGATAATGGGAGTTTTAAATGCAGAAATCTAGAAATAAGCTTCAAGCTATTATTCAAACATTTGCATTGATAGCTAGAACTGTTAGCCAGATTTTAGTTCAAAAGACCAAACTATACCTTTCCACAGCACTTACAATGTGTCATAAAAGCTTGTCTAACAATTATTTTCCCCTCCAATTATGCAACTTATATTACTGCGCATGCTTAGATTCAAAACAATATACTACACCTGTAATTACTCCCATGCTACTAGAAAACCAGTGAATTAAATTTATTTAGTGTTAAATGGATATGGAATGTTATACAGTACATGTAAGACACTTCAAGATGAGTAAAGCAGAACTAATTGCACAAAAGATTAAAGGTTCACCTCAATAGTCAATATTATCAAACCATTACAGCTTCCATCTTCAGAGTGCAAGGTATGTCATGCAAAAAAACACAACTCAAAAAATCCCCAAACAGACAAACCCAACATTGTGGTACCACTTAAATGATATCATACCACAATATTTTACAAGACAAAGTGATCGTTCATAGAGAATGAAGCATTTTAGCTATAACTAAAGTGTTCTGAGCATACTTAACAAATTCTGCATGAACACCAATTCCAGCATTACTATACCTAAGGAAGAGGCAACATGCTGGGAGAAAGTACCTAAAAAAAATAAAAAATAAAAAAAGAATATCAAAGCCTCTTTTATTCAGATCCAATATTATAACTTGCAAGAGTTAAGTTATGCAATCTTATTATTCAGAGTCCCCACATAACTGAGTGAGGTTCAATACATTTTTACATAGAGCATAATCACATAACCATCACATCAGCAAGACAACTTCATTATCTTGACCACTACATTTAAACCATGGTATGATAACATGCCCTGCAAACAAATTGTCTTCTGGGACAGTAACCTATATGTAGAAATACCAAGCAACTAAAATATGCTCCTAACCACTTTAAGATTAAACCCAAATGAACTATAATTTGTATCTTATTTACATATTTTTGAAATATGTAGGCAAAAAACGCAGATGGGACAGAAGAACAACGCACAAGAGAGGTAAGATTTGGCTTACTGAACTGATCAGAACAACGAGAACCTCCTGAGAGGGGATTACACCGCCTGGACTCTTTCCCTACCAAGGGGTCTTGCCTAGGTTACTGTATCCAGCTGCTCTTTCTGCTTGGCACCCTCGCCCAGCTGCCTAAACGCAGGGGACCAGCGCCTGCCACCCCAGCTGGTTCCCCCAGCCAAAAGCACTGCAGAGAAACACGCTCCTACAAAGGGGCTGCAGCTGGAGCTCCAACAGCAACACACAAGGAAAACAGAAGATGACAGAATGGTTTTAAAATGTCCACCTGATAATATTCATATCCTGAGGGCACCACAAGTAGATTAATTTACAAAAATAATCATACAAAAAAAAAAAAAAGAGAAAAAAAGAAAAAGGATGAAGTTGTTTACCCTCATATTAGGAATAAACTGTTAGATTTCCTGGCTTAAATGTAAGCAAGTGGAATTTACCTAGAAAGACCTCGCTGAGGTTAACTTTCCAACTACATTCAAAGAAAATAATTTACTAAAACTATAACTTGCAAGGTCAAGTAGCCTTGAAGGTACAAGGTAACTGTAGCCATAGTTAAATACAAACTTTAAAAGACATTGTAAAGGAAAAGAAAAGAAACTATAGGAAGTAGGTGAGAAAAAACACTTTAGCATTCATCTGGAACATTATACTTCCAAAGCCCATCATTCTCAGGAATGTGTATTTCATAAATAAAAATACAGAACAAAAATATGCGTAACTATTCTAATGCTGGATACTTCTAGATCTCTTCAGATAAAATTTGTCTCCCTTCCAAATTAATGATAAACCCTGAAAAAAATTGGCTTTTCCAATCTATTGTGCAAGAGGAAACACAGATGAACAAAACAACATTTGGAAAAAACACTTTGTACAAGATTGCAATTCTAAAACACTTATATTACAAAGCAATGTAAATAAATACCAGGCTAGTACAAAAGCTCTTATTTACAGTTTTACAAATGAAATAGTTTTCAGTGTAAATGCAGTGTTTTTAAAGAACACAGTATTAGTAAAATGAGTTCCTGTATAGAGCATTACAATTTCTGCTAAATTTCATGTAGTATTGTATAAAACCATTGTTCAAGTTAATTTTTGTTTATAATTTAGTAAGCCAAAGCCCAGTTTATGCCTGGAATGGTATCTGTTAAAGTGCTGAAAAAGAGGACATTTCTGAAACTTTAGAAAAACATACTGTACATTATTAAAGCTTTATCAAGTCAAAAATGTTAGATTTTGTTCACATTTGCTACCACACCACCTGCAGATGAATTTGTAACAACGCAGTATAAATCAACAGGATGTCGGCCGGCCACGGCTATCCTCACATCCCATCTCTGAGGGCCTCTCAAAAGTATTTGCCTTAAGCTTCAGTGGTGGCTTCAGGTTTCATAATCTGGTAAGTAATCAAGTATTCTGGATAAGCCTGAAAATGACAAACACATTCTTTATTATGATTATATTCTCTAAATACATGCAGATAGGGAAAAAGTGCACTATTTAAGTCAAAAAAAAAAAAAAAGGACAAATTGACAGAATGTCTGAAGTGTTCAGGAAACATGGACCCTTTTATATCCATGCAAAGTGCAGTTTCTTCTAAGACAAAAGCAAGTTCTAGCAACCCTCAAAGGAAAAGAAATTCCAGGTCTCAAAAATAATAATAAAAAAATAGAAACAAAAACTAAATTACCTGTTCCCCTCTATAAATGACATATTCTGCCAATGCCAGTCCATTTACACTGGGTCGCCCAGTAACGGAGTGATGTCCTGGGGGAGAATGAGCCATTTTCATAGCACTGAACTGCAGGAAAGACTTGCCCAGGGTTACACGACAAAACAGCAATTGCCTGCGTTAAGAGGGGAAAAAAGGACTTATCAAAACACTATGAATTTAAAAAAAAAAAAAAAAAAAAAAAAACACCACACTTGTGAAGCAACAGAAAGATTATTTTAGTAACTTGAAACTTACACGTGAGCCACCTCAGCCAGTCCTTGTAATAAGCAAAACTATGAATTTTTGTTTGGAATGATAAAACTTATGTTTCCTTAAGAAAAGATCTTTAGTTTGGAGAAAGACTTGGTACTAATAGTGAATAATATTAATCACAATTACTGGCAACAGAGAGCTTAACAGTGAACAGTGAACTCTGTCACTTTTTTTTTTAAACACTTATTTTTCTGAGGTAACACTATTTCCTCAAATCACTCATTATAACTGCATAACAGTGTTCTCTGTAAAGCATACAACATCTCAACATTGTTGGATTTCTCTTTCTGCTCTAACAGGCAATGGAGCAGACTAAAACCTTGCACTGCTCTTTCACACAAGCGTGTAGCAGCTCCTCTTCACTTGCAGAGAATCTAACCTGACTTTTTACCATAAGCTAAGGGCAAAGACTCAGGTAAATGCACTCAAGATGCTTAAAGGTTCTTTGAGACCTCAGTGCCAAAGTTTTCTGAAAGGCTCAAACACATAGTGAAGCCTGGGAAGGTTTTGTTACCAAGCTCACCTTTCTTCGGACAATCTGCTGACCTGATGGTCAATTACAAAGTGAGTAGATGCAACCTTGGATTCCTCCGAGTAGAAGATAATGACTCACCTGTGGCAAACATAACAAGATCTATCCTTGTGAATGGGACATCCAGTGCCACCTCCAATTCCATAAACATACTGATTGCTTTTGGAAGAATTTTCTGCAAAATAAATCCCAGCTCCAAACATGCCACCTATATAGGCATGTCTTTCATCAAAGCCTTTGTGAATAATCGCATTCACAAAGGGGGAGCCTAAAATAAATAAATAAATATGTTAAATACTTGGAAACGTGCTTGTATTTATCTTAATTTTACAATATTTTTAGTATGAGTTTTCACATATAAATCTCCAGAAATTCTGAGCAACTCAAGTGTATGTGACCAGATTGCTAGGAGTGTTATACACAGAACAGCAGGCGATACGCATGCGTTCTTACATTTACCAAGCATAAGGTGAGAGGCAACTTCTGCAGCAGGTTATTTATTCAGCACTCCCTTTCACCACAACTTTATTCTAACCATGATTTTGTGAATTTCCCACACAAATCCTGTCTCTGCTAACACCGAGTAGACTACATCTAAACACAACAGATGCACTCCAATCAAAATTCTAAAGTAACTCTCAAAGGAGAGGAGATTATTCTTCTGTTTCTCTCTCGAGTATATATCTACTTGTATAAAAGAATAAAAAAGCCTTAAAGAATAATATATTCAAACTGGACTCTGTATCTTTAGAGACACCTGACAACCATTCAATTTTACAAAAAGTGTAACTTTTTAATAGGAATTTTAACCAAAGCTTCAGAGATGCTTTTCTTTCTAAGAGGAGCTTTCTCTAAGAAAATACAGCACGTCTGTTACAAACAGAGTTTTAATGAAAATAATCCAAAGTCTTATCTTTCATAATAAGAAAACCTTATATGAAACAAAATGACATTCCACACACACGAAGAAACTGGAACCAAAAAAGAAAAGCTGTGACTTATGTTCTGCATGTTGCATAATGATTAAGGTAAATAAAAATAAGTAATGTAAATATAAATGTAAATAAAAAATAAGAGAGTAGTCACATGGCATAAATTTCCCTGTTCCAGGAATAATTGTATAATTGTGCACAAAAACTAGCGTCAATTTCCAGTGAGAAAAGTTTACTTTTAACCAGTGGAAATCCTTCACTAAGGAGTGCTGATAGTGTGAAACTGGCAAAAAAGTTTCAGCAACTCACCATGAAACAGCATCCTTTCATTAGCATGGTTATGATTCTCTTCAGAGACCTCTTTCCTCCTGTGAGTGTATCTTTCCCAAAGTTTTTTGTTGCACACTTTCTGAATCTGAAATAGTCAAAATGTAAGTTTTCTACCTTGAAGTCAAAAACTTCCATTTGCTTTGACTGATTTTATATAGTACCTATATCACAACACACTACTCTCAAACACTAAACAGGAATCTATTCTTACTTAGAAGTCAAATGAGTTTCTATTGCTTATACAGCTAATCGTTACAACAGCAAAACACTGAGTAAACCATAATTACAAGTTTCATGAGAACCAATATGTTTTAAAGATCTATTGAGTAATTCCTCTTAAATTTAGAGGAGTTCATCACAATTACTTTGGTGTCCCTCTAAATATTGCTTGATATAAAATGTTAATAAAAAGATCTAGTAAATTAAAAAAATCTTCCACAAAGACTTCTGGAACATTAAAAAGCATACAAGACACCCTCCCTAAGCAGAGGTGTGCTTGAGCATGATTGCTTGCTTGTGCATGTCTCAAAATTACACATCTCTTATGAAGCTCAGCCAATGAACATGCAAGATTTTACTGCTGAGTCAAAGATACATCCCAAACAAACACTGAAGCTGTAACCATCAAGCATAAAAACGTGACTGCTACCTTTAAAATGTTGTATCTGTTGAAGACGCCTCCAGCATGTCCCCCGTCCCTGTGCTCTCGGACGGTACTCTGCATCTGAGGATTGAGAGTTTCGGAGTGTTACTTTGCTCCAGAAAAACATCCTTCATATATTCTGGTAATCAAATGCACAATATCTTAATGCTTGCAGTCTATCTTACACTTTAACTGCCCAGCACAACTCCTTTGTCTACCTCGTTGGCAACAGTGACAAGCAGCATACCTCCTCTTCCACTGACTGAAATTCCTTATCTTCAGAGGAAAGGTCTATGAGTATAGTTCCACTGCCAGAAGTATTCAGAGTCAGGTATGGGTTAAGTCCTGTAAACATAACAAAAGACAACAACAGTTTCAGATACTGCTTAAATAAGCAACAAGAGTTTGGGGGGGGTTGTTTTTAAAGTGTTGAGGGGGAGGGTAAACACACAACACCCTATGATTACTAGCTGTAGAAATTTAAAATAGATCATGGGACTGGAAATGCTTCTTAAAAATACTTTCTTCACAAAATACTCAATAAATCAGTCCAGAAAACAATAGAAAGTTGAAAGGAAGTTAAAGATCCACAGAAATTCATCATCACTGGCAAAGGACTCTCTTATGGCTTGATTTCTCTTAAAGAAGAAAAACATCACTTAGGGCTTTGGACAGTGTGTCTCTCATTCTGGAGTCCAGACTTTGAATGGGAATTCACATATGGCATCTTTAAAAAAAAAAAAAAAAAAAAAGACTACAATTTCTAGCTAAAATGACTCCATTGCTCTGAAACATTGCACAATAATAGCAGTTGATACTTCGATGAGACAGGGAAAAAAAATAGAATGGACTTTTTTTCTTTTTTGTCTCCTGTGCAACCATAGTTAAATGGAGCATGTTATTCCTGGGATTGTGCTGGAATCAACAAAGTTGCTGCACAAAAAGGGACTTCAGCATAGAATTCAACAGAAGCCGAAGCTGTTAAACAAAACAGCTTCGTTCGTTTTGGCTCGCTGCAAACACCACAACTGCGCTTTAGCAGAGCAGGACAGGCAAGCCCGTGTGCTGGCTCCTGCTGCTCCCCATGCAGAACCCCAGGGGCGGCTGCAGAGCCGGCCCTTGGGCAGGGCCAGAGAGGTGCCCACGCTCTGAGGAAGGGGGGAGCTCCCTCCGCAGCTGACAGGCCTCAGCAGCAGTTGCTTTGAGCCTCCAGCTAGGCCAGCACGAGATGGCCATCGTGACGCAAAAATGGACAGCAAATCACAACATTCACAGTAAAGCACAGTACAGATATAAGCCCTCTAAAAGCCTTCTGATTAAAAGACCTCTTATCATTAAGAGTGCTCTTTTTAGAATAAACTAAGTTTTACTACAAATTGCTTTCAATGAGGTATCATTTGGAACAATATAAAGAATTTGCTACTATAAAACCCATCTTTACAATGTTACATAATATCTTGAAACAAGTACATACCTTGCTGCCCAGAAATCAATCTTTCAACTCCTTTAATTATTTTATGTCGATGGCCATAGGCATTAATTCCAATTTCCTTCAATTCTTTGTGTCCCATTTCAACCAAAACATCCAGCGTTATCTAGCAGAAGAACAATATTTTTTTTGGGTAACAGCATAAACAGAACAATCACACTGTGAATATATTCTGTAATAGTTACGGCAAAAAGTGTAGAAGGAATATGCATAGGGAACATTATTATTCTTGTACTTGGCTCTTCTTACACTGTATTCTCTAGACCTTCATCTAGAAATTTTCTACAAGCTAGAGTTGAGTGACTGGTATTCCTTGCAAACACCATGTATCAAACTTAGAATTTTCATCTTCACGTTAAACACATGAAAATCAACATTTAAAAAACCCACAGCAATCACTAATCAATACAGATCACTTATTGATTCCATTTATACCACTGAAAGTAAACACTGACTGTATACAGTATTGTATGTGTAAAATATACAGTAGCAAAGAGCAAAGCTCTCAACCTGATACAGATAACACTGCTTCATTTTCAAAATAAAAGCTTTCTTTCCTTCCACATCCAAACTGAAACACTTGCACATTTTAAATGTGTCTAATTAGACTATGCTAACAATTATTTTATTCCCTTGCATCCTAGGTGGGTATGTGAAAATGTAATACTCACCTGTTCTCTCTCAAATATGTCAATCAGATGTTCAAGGCCAAGGTTCCGCACAAACTGATTTATGCTAAAATCTATACCTGAAACTGGAGAAGAAAAACAACTCAGCAGGAATATTCATACATATACTTAATATGTATACACATCACTTGCTGTGGTAGCCAAAGGAGATACAGTCATCTCGGACTTGTGGAGACTTAGGGAGAAAAAAAACAACACCAAGCAAAACAAAACACACCCGTCAAACACATCCACGTCCCTAACAAATGTCAGCTATGATTACTGGGGCTACCACCCCCAATAGAGTTGAATGTTCCACCCTCATTCCCCAAAAGGCACTATTATCTTTGTGCATCTGCAGTATAAGCGGCTAACTAGCTATTGGAAATGCACCTCCAAACAGCAACTATTTTGAGAACTAACATACTACAGAAACAACCTTTTCAAGTTATTTAAGAACAACCTCCTAGAAACTAGATGAAGCCTGTAATAAAATACTGGTATGGAGCCAAAGCTAATGTAGCTCCTTGTAAGACTTTTGTTCCACATTAATGACAGCATGAGGAATGCAGCTATTGCATATGTCCAATAACAAATCTGTGCAGGGTCTCAAACTTAAGCATTCCTTTTGCTGTTCTATATGTTGCAAATTCTTATTCATTCCTGAGAAGTCTCACCTTCTTTCTTCTCCAAAACTGCAGCTCCCTCTGCACCATTTGTACCAACGACAGAAGGAAGTTCAGAGAAACTACCAGATAAGTTGTCAAGGCTGCTTGCAGCAGACAGACTGGATGGACTGGATGGAACAGAAGACAGGGAATCAGCTGCAGATCCTGCAGTCTGTGACACATTTATAACCTGAGGTTTGTAGCATGATGGTAATGCAGAAGGAGGCATTGCTGCTGTCAATAAAGCGCTGACATCATCTGCCTAAAAAATTGAAAGGAATTTATTACAAATGAAGGAACGCTTTCACACAACAGCAAAACAGTTTTTCCTCAAATGCATTATTGTTATTCCAAGCTACTTCCTAAATTTAATGCAATATATACAGACACATATACATATGCAAAAAGTCAGTTTACAATTGGCCTTTTGTGCCAACAAAACACTTGAAAGACAGAAAATTTTGCTTTCATTTTATTGCCACAGCAGTTTTTGTATTAGTCAAACTGGAGATACCAAATTAAAAGCACCTACTTAGCTCCACCCCCACCTTTTTTGTGCACTGTTTAAAACAAGAAGCCTTAAACAAGAAAAAAATGAAAAAAAAGTTTAAAGGGGCTCTACTGACCTTCTTTACCATTTATAAACACCAGAGTAACCAACGCATTGTAAACTTTGCAGAAGTTACCACATTATTATTTTTTAAAACAATTTTAGAGGAGCTGCCCCAACAACAGAGAAATAAGTATTTCCCAGCAAGATCCCCTTCTTCACTTACAGTGACCAGGTCTAAGGGTGTTTGTCCTTCCTGGTTTTTCAGAGTGGGATCAGCCCCATGTGCCAGCAACAAGGCACAAAGTTGTGTTCTTCCTTTCTGGGCTGCTTCATGTAAAGGTGTGAAAGCCCATTTGTCTGTAGCATTCACACATGCATTATACTTTATGAGTAAAGCTGCCACATCCACATGCTGAAAAATAAAACACCATGTTAAAATCCAAAGTGCTACAATATATTAAGCTCAGAATTAGCACTGATTCTTTTTAAGAAGTGTTTTTTCCCTGACCTATAACGTGACCAGTAAAAAGTTAAGACTTCTCTTGTGAAAGGAGCATCAACTACAGAATGGCAAATCCAAATGCCTTGGATTTCATTAACAGATCACGACAAGCTTAAATCTAAACTTCCAGTCTGGAAGGTACTCCAGCCATTTTATTAAAAGACTTCATCAAAACACAAAAATCCTGACTGAGAGTCCACACAAAGAAGTAGCATCTCAGCTCTGTCCAAAGCAGCGTGAATAAGATCTCAAAGATTAAAAAGTAACTGGGCATAGGTGAGCAAATGCATTAGAGCACCTTTTGGACTACTTGCTTTGTAAATGTTTACATTAAGAAAACTGATTCTCTATCAAGTCTTTGCCTATAGCATTAGTTAAATGGGCAGTTACTTTCTGGCTTTTCAGGAATAAGTTACACTACAAGAAAATGGAAAAAGTATTCTAGAAAGATTATCAGATCAAGACATTGACAATAAAAATGCAGTAATGCATTTTTTTCAAAGTTTAAAAAGTTTGAGATATTTACCCCATAAGATGCAGCATTATGCAGAGGAATCAAACCTCCTTTATCCTGCGCATTCACATCTGCACCATGCTGTAAAAGGTACTCAGCAACCTCCAAATTGTTGTAACCAGCTGAAAGTTTGCAAAAGGAAAGAGTAAACAGAACATGTGTTAAAATAAATAAATGTTAGAAGTAACAAAATTGACAAATGAGTAGCCAGGTCAAAGAATTATTGCGAATATCAAGTAACTTCAAGTTGCACAGCAGAAGAAAAATTCTTCACATGGATTCATCCAAAACTTTCTCAACAGACAGTAGAGAAGTGATAATTCCCTGAAGTACCTGAAAGCTAGAGCATCACTTCCAATGAGGACAGTGTATTATCTATTAGTGTAGACAGCTTCACATTATGTAAGTGTCTGGTTTTAAAATCTCTGGCAGTAAACAAAATAAAAGATACCCCGAGGCTAGAGAGAATGGGAAATTGAAGTCATTAGTAATAAACACTTCAGAAAAGTGGAGGAACAAAAGATACAAAGAGATTCTAAATCTACAAAGTATACACATAAAATACTTCAAACAATGTATGCTTTTTAATATAAATAGTAATGATGTTTTATATGGAATCCTTTAGTTTGGAACTGTGCTATTAAACTCATGTAAAATTAGTAAATTCAGCTGCAATAACTCTTAAATCTAATACAAGCACTAACCTGCTAAGTGTAGTGGTGTGGAATGTCGTCCTTGTGTGTCCCGACAATTAACGTTGTCAGGTGAACACAGCTTTTTTACTCGGGCCAAACAACCTTTCTTAGCAGCATCCAGTAGAGCTGCATCTCCTCTAAGCAGGTCTTGAATATCAGTATCACCATCTTTAACAAGGTCCAGAGGAGTATTTCCATCTCTGTTTTTCTTTGTGGGGTCAGCTCCATGCTGTACACATTAGAAACAGGCGGTAAACACATAAGCAGAGTAAGCATCTCTAAATCTTGAGTGTTTCATTTCTTATAGAGCAAGCATTTCAATAAAATAATTTCAATGAAATCCTCCACGGCAATGATGCATCCTATCTTAAAAATAGCCTTTCACATACAGCTTCAGAAAGGACAAGAACCAAATGATGCCTCTACTAAAAACATATGTAGAATTACAATCACTTACAATAAATTATGTTTTGTATTTCTAAGTCCCATCACATTTCAGACTGAAAAAGAAATATATTTCCAAAAATACATGCAATACCTGTAATAGGAGTTTGCATATCTCATATTTTCCTTTTGCTGCAGCTTCATGTAAGGGAGTGAATTTCCACAAATCAGCTACATTTACAACTGCGCCATGTTTAACGAGAAGTTCTGCAACTTCATAGTGACCATAAGAGCAAGCATTATGTAAAGGGACAAGTCCTCTGAAAAGAAAATAAAGTGTTCCTTTAAAAAAAAGAGCTTCTTAGTCAAAACGATATAAATCTGGAATGTACAGCACTTTTAACAATCACAATATAACAAACATCTCTTGTTTCTGAATGTTCCACAATATTCTAATACAGTATCTATTGCCCAAGTGATACAAATGTATAAATGCTACCAGTAGTGGCCCTGAGCAAGGGGAAAAAAATAGGGGGGAGAACAGGTCTTGGTTACTCTTTTCAAGTCCTGCAAAATATTTCAGTGGGTTTTCTGAACAGCTCCATACTAATCAAGCTTTCTATGGAAACAAGAAAGTGGATATCTGAGGAAAGATGAGATGCAAATCTGCTGGCAAAATTCAAGGATTGACAAATACACTAATGGCTGCATTTGCCTAGAAAGCATATTTTTGAATATTTACCCCTTATCTTTTGCATGCACATCAGCTCCATGTTGAAGAAGATATTCAACAACTGATACTCTATTGTAGCCAGCTGCAAAGTGAAGCGGTGTAGACTGACGTCCTTCAATATCTCTGCAGTTCACGCTTTGAACTGTACATAGCTTCTGTGAAAAACAACAGCAAAAACATTTATAAATACATATAATGATGCACATTAACTTGGTTATCAAATGTTGTTAAATATACACACATCTGATTTGACTTTATCATTAAAAACAATTTTAAACCCTAGGTTTTTGCTTTGTTTCCCCAGATTCTTTTGCCGGATTGTTTACTCAAATAACAAAATAATTAGTATCCCCTCTCCCAAACCCACACCCATTATTTACAAATTTTTCATTTAAAAATTGAATGCAACTTTTATGATCCAATCACTGTCAGATTTTGTCATTTGTAGCTCTGCTGCAATACAAAGTTCTTGGGACAAGGATTATAGTACTAATACAGTCTGGCTCAGGACAGGAGGACGGAGAGGGGAGTGGGGGTTATTCTACTTTTTGAGAAAATATAGTTTGCCATAAAACTCCCTCTCATATTTAGGATGGTTTAGTCTTACTTTTACAGTATCCACATCTCCAGCCTTCGCAGCCTCCAGCAACTGGCGATCTGCATCTGAATTACCTAGTGGGATACCTTCTGCAAAAGAAATGGATTGTATGAAGTGTAACCGTATGTGGCTAAAGAATATGTTAATACAGGAAATCATTTGAGTATTTCAAGTACTTGCCCTTAAAAAGGGGATTGTCAGCTATGGACAAAGCTTTATCTTTTCTTATGACCTACAGCTGTAGCTGTTACTTCAACAGTGCTTGCAAGGCTCTGAAGTTGTATCAAAGTTGCCCTTAGCAACGTGTTTTCTACCTGTTTTGAAGTACCGCAGAACCAATTACATATTCTCATTCAGTTTCTGAATTAGGTTGCCTAAGGAAACCTATCTATAAATGTGTAACGTCTGAACTTTATTCATGGAAATGTGTAACGTCTGAACTTTATTCAAGTCCACAGGAACTTAAGGAAGCATTTCTTCACTGTGAGGGTGACAAAGCACTGGAACAGGCTGCCCAGAGAGGTTGTGGAGTCTCCTTCTTTGGAGATCTTTAAAACCCGCTTGGATGCAGCCCTGTGCCACGTGCTCTAGGTGACCCTGCGTGTGCAGGGGGGTTGGACTCGATGACCTCTGAGGTCCCTTCCAACCTTGGGCATTCTATGATTCTATGAAATTCCTATATCTTGTTGCCTTTGTTCACAGCCACCATTTTTGCTTTTGAACTTCATATTCTGCTCAGAAGATTCAGCCCTGTCCACCTCAGCACTTCTCCAAAACAATTCCAAGAGGCTGCACAATTAAACATTCTGAGCAGCTCTGTAGCATTCAGCCCCCTATGTTGTCAGAGCAACACAAACCCTTAACTACACCTATAGCAGATACCTAACATGTGCGCGTGATAAAGCATTGCCAGAACTGTGCAACTCAAGCCAGTTTTTCTAATTTTTTAAGAGATTGTTGCCTGTGCTTGCTGTTATTCCCTGACAGCACTCGAAATGACAAGTAAAATGAAAAAGAACGGTGCACTAGAAATGAATGCTAAATAAAGTAGCTGTACCTTGCAATAGCTGTTGCACACTTTCTGTCCCCATTTGGGAGGCTGTAAAGCCCTGCAGGGACACAATGGAAGGATCACATCCAGAACTCAGTAGCAATCTGCACGTCTGAAGATGACCACAATGTGCAGCTCTATGAAGAGAGGTCTGACCAAGATTGTCCAATGCATTAACCTAAAAATTACACACAAACTTGAGAATACATCATTACCAGAAATACCACCAACTCAAGTTAACATTGAGGCTATTTTCATTGGTGAGCAATGGGATTTCACACTCTTCTCACTTTAAAGGAAAATATTCAGCCTATTTCCAAAGGCGTTAAGCACTAAAGTGCTTCTGCTTTATATAATTGCACTCACTGAAGACACTGAGCAAGTTAAACAATTACAGCCTATTTACCGCTTACAGAACAACCCTTAGTTTTGTTCACAGCATACATTCTTTTCCAAACAAGCAGAACAGTTAACTGTTAGAGCTTATTGCAGTCTTTCAGAATAAGGACTTTATATAAGCAATCAGGTTAACTGAGATAAACCTAATTTTAAACTCTGCTGCAAACCATGCTTATCTTCCCTACTGTTTCACTGGTTTTGATCATTTCTCCCCAAGTATCACAACAGTCCATTGTACTTAAAAATACATAGGATACCTCTGACTCTGATACCTCTGAATTGGACCATTCAAACAATACAGAGAATATCTCCTATCTATATTATTCTGGAAGAAAACTGGCCTGAATTTTGTGTTGTATGAGTTGACCTTTTGCCTCTACTGTAATTTTACTACACATCATGATATACCTAAAGTACAATGCTGTGCTCATAGATTTACAGCCTCTTACGTATATGAACTCCCAAAGCCCAAATATTTTAGCAAATTTTGTGACGGTACTCAGCTGTCTTTTCTCATGCTGTGAAAATATACATAGTAGTTGAATCCAAACAAAAAAAAAAAAGGTAAGTAGTGACTCATACCTTAGCTTCATGTTTCACAACTACTTCAACAACATCATTATGAGCTTTTTCTGATGCTACATGCAGAGGAGTCAAGAAGCTGTTATATATAAAAAAAATACTAATTAAAAATTCATTCTGTAAAGTCTCCTAAACAAGCAGTTAGGCATATTTATTTGTAACCACTTACTCTTTAGTCTTTTCATTGATGTTGGCTCCTTTTCTCAGCAGCAATTCACACACTTGCTTTCTCTTTGGATATGGGGATGCAGCAGCACAGTGCTGAAACATTGCAGAATTGTCGCATTAGCAGCCAACTCACAGTATACAAATTTTACTACTCACTGATCAGCTGAAAGCTAAGAGCTAGTTCTATGCAAAGTCAACAGAAAAATAACAACAAAAAAACATGCAGAAGCTTACTAATTCAAGAGATTCAACATGGGCTCATGGATTTACTCTGGTATATTCCAACACCCTACTCTCCAATAATTGGCGGAAAACTTTAGACCTTAAAAAAATCCACCAAAGCTAACATGTAGCTTGCTCCTGCTTAAAAGTAGACTATTCTNAAAAAAAAAAAAAAAAAAAAAAAAAAAAAGAGAGAGAAAAACAATTACAATAGCCTAATAAGACTGGCAATTAATTGGCCTTAACATTAACTTTAAGCGACATAGTCTAAATCAGTGCTACTTGATCTTTTTAACTAGACAAGGCATACTTAAGTTTCATCTGAATTACACTCTTCCGTTACACAGAATCTTCAGATTACTATTTTTAAGTCATCAGTCACGATAGATGCAAAATAAATAACAAATCCTGGAACATTACCAAAGCTGTCTCATGTGTCTGGGGATGCTTGAAGTTCACTGTCTCCAAAGAAAGATGTTTCTTTATGCGAGCTACATCCGATTCTCTTGCAGCCTGTAGCAGTGAATGGCCTTTGAATTCATCTGAAAAAGAAAAAAGTTCCACTCCTTAATTCTAGCAGAATAAAGAGAATTGCTATTTTCAGTTTGAAAAAAAAACATTCATTTTCTTGGTTGGTAAGATAGAAAAGGGACATCTTTCCATATGCAGACATTTCAAATTCAGAGACCTAATCTTTCAAATCACTTGGCAAAATGTACTACCCAGTAAGTCAAAGCAACACAGAAACATGCATCTTTAAGGCCTCCAAACCAAAGCCAGAGGCATCCAAGTTGTCTGAACAAGATGTATTTCACTCACCACTGTTTTAGGTTCTGCTCTTTGCATATGTATGAGTTCAAATATCAAAAAACTTTTATTTCTGACCTCCCTTTGGAAAACCTTATCTAGTTTTTAGCCTGTGGCCTTACATGGTATGCCAAGGTCATGCCTATACATACTCCAGAAAGTTACTGCTTATCTACTTAGAAGGAAACTGAGGATATTCTGGTCAACCCTTTAAGTCTGCTAGACAACAGGAATACATTCCACCAATTTCTTTGAAGTTTTAGTCATGGCAGTGCACTCAAAATACGTGTATTTTGCATTCTAGAAATTAAAGTTTTTCTTCTGTTCAAATAACATCATGCAACAGAGAAATACTTCAGCAGTCTTGATGCAGAGACAGGAATAAGTGAGGAAAATGAAAGGTTGTGAAGGGAAGAGCAAATACAGGAAATAAAGCTACAAAAGCCATTGCAAACAGATGACTAGAATTTAGAAGAAAACTATTTAAAACGCCTATTTTCAGAAAAATATAGCAATCAAATTATATAAAGCTGTTATCTAAACAATGAAAGGTTCTGTCAAATGTTACAAAGATGCTTGCAAAGTAAAAGCATTTTCCAAAGATGATTCCTAACAGTTCACTGTCTAGAAAACCTAAGTACATATTACAAGCTATAACTGAAGAACTGAGCTCACTTTATACTCACATGCTAATCTTTCTTTTAATTGAGGCGTTGGAGCCAAGTCAATGGTGCTTTTGTTGTGACAGTTCAAGAGTGTTGGGTCAGCACCATAACTTAACAAAAGAGAACATACTTCCACCCTGTTCTTAGAAGCTGCTTCATGCAGAGGGGTGAATTGCCACAGATCCATTGCATTCACACATGCTCCATGCTTGAAAGGCAAACAGGTTAAAAAAAAAAAAAAAAAAGATGCATTATCAAAAACAGATTTTTAGGAAAAGACTTGTCATTAATTTCAACACAACAGATGGTTAAAATCAATAAACCAATGCACATATGCAAGCACTTTTCAAGATATTTTTGAGACATTCATCTTTCATATAACATCTCCACTGAAGGACTATTTCAGCACAGTACAGATTTCAACCTTCAAGTGCCCCACACCTCTATCTGCACAAGCCAGAGGAAGGCTGGTCTCCTCAGCCTATCTCCAGCTTTGCTAAAAAAGAGAGCAGCTCTGCTACTGGACAAATCAGAGAAAGAGCCTAGTCTATCCCCTCCAAATCACATTTGAATCAGCTTCTCTTTTTTTGTCGCTAAAGAGAGATCTGCAGGGAACAGTTTCACTGCTTGAGAGATGAAGGCTAAATATTTAAAAGGAAGTACACACCTAAAGTTCATTTTCTTTTGTCAAAACTGTTTTCTATTTTTCTATTGCCAAATTCACAATATTCCTCTTTTTTAAATTATTATTTCTTTGCATTAGAGATGGGAGAGTTAAGAGAAGAAATGTTTACATGATGTTAACAAAAACATTCAATTTTGGAGCCAAGGGAGATTAAAAACTGGAAGTATGTTTGTAAGGAGAAAGTTCCCTTGCAAGCAGAAGGTACCGCTGAGATTTAGTTCCTACTGGATAATCACAAGCTATCATGGACAGCAAAACAAATCAATCATTCTTTTTAAGCTTTGCAAGCCTAAGTACAAAATAAAAAAGATGCACAAACAGTTAAGTAATATCATTCAATTTAACTTAAGTTTAAGTTAAAGATTAAAACCAACCTTTACTAGAAGCTCTGTTACTTCATAATGACCGTAGGAACAGGCATTATGAAGTGGAACCAAATCTCTGCACGGGACAGAAGGGAAAGAATATGTTATTACACATTTTCATTATAATCTTATCTAGTAATAGTATATTGTACCTTGAGCAATTTGCAAAAAATAACAACTGAGACACTCAAATAATGCTGAGGGGACCTCAAGTGCTGGGGAAGAACCCAGAAAAATTCTGTAGCGTTACTCAAAACAGCAACTATTTAAAGTAACCAAAAATTCTGTAGCGTTACTCAAAACAGTAACTATTAAAAATGACTGAAAACACAAGTGAATTACAATTTCTTACTGCATATGAGATTGCTCCTCTGACAGACCTGGTACCCCAAGCAGAACAAACTATCTGCAGGAGCTTTGTAGGAGAGACAGTAATTATTTCCTTTCTCACACAAAAACTACTGTGAAATGATCTTCTCCTTGTATAACTAATGTTTAGGTAACAGCACAATGTGCTCCAATCTGCAACGACAGCACAGAGGCAGTGTTGTTGAAAGTAGTCCTCATTCATCTCCAGCTGCAGAGGGGACTGTCTGAGCAACAAATGGGACACTGCCCAGAATGAATTCTTTCACTATAGACTATCAAGGGAGAGAGGACTGACAAAACTGAATTTTAACCTCAAGGGCACTTGAAGCTGTCTGGACAGGCAGCTACATACACATCCCTGAAGTGATCTGAAAACACTGCATTCCACAACCTTTAACGTACATACATTCACTTTTTTAAGAGCCTTCTGATTGTACATCATGCAACTGTAAATAAATGTACATGCCTATATTTCACCGAATTTCCAGAAATGTTTTAATGTAGTCTTAAAAAGTCCTAGCATTATTTTATGGTGAGTTCAGTTGGGTGCTGCTGCTTCACAAGCCTTAAAACTATATACTTTATATTTTTGTTATGACAGGTAAATAAAACACGGCATAACGGCTTTGAATTAGAAAAAGTTCATGGTTAAAATGATATTGACAACCTTTAATACAGCTTAATTTTGAACAGGTTGTTTATTCTGAACTCAGGAAAAAAATGAACTTACCCTTTATCCTTAGCATGCACATCAGCTCCATGCTGTAGTAAGAGCTGCACTATTTTAACACGGTTATACCCAGCTGCTAAATGTAAAGGAGTCGACTGAAAAGGCAGAATACAGAAGTAATCAGTAACAGAAAATAATTTTCCCCCCAATACTTGTTAACAGTCCTAATACAGTGGGCTGCAGAATATTTGTACCACCCTCCGAAGAATGCTTGAACCAGACATTTAAGTACATTCATTCTTTACGGACTACTCTTCTAGTTAGAACACATACAAACTCTCAATTTATTTAATCACGGATTCATTCTGGCAAAGAAAGCCAACTTAACAGACTTTTGAGTCCTACACTTCATTTCTACATTTTAGCTTACCATAACTATAAACACATTTACCTGGTGGGACAGGTAAGTCCCACCAAAGTGGAGCTGAGAAGGCTGTTGCAAGCATTGTCTGATAAATTATAAATAGGCCTCCCTGACAATCAATAGATTAAGTTTAGAAATCAGAGCTGGTTACCCACACCTGTGAGTGCCTAAGTTAATGGGGTACAGGGCAGTTGCTTCCTTTTCCCTCTCCCCAGAGCAGTCAGCTGTGCTCTCTGCTCAGTCAGCTCTATATTCTTTCTAGCAAACCCACTCAGGAATACCAGGCAGCATCACTGACCACAGAGCCAAGAAGCAAGAGGATTCACAAACTCTTCATTTACAAATCCATCAGCTCAGTGGCTCTGTACACTTCTGAAGGTTTAGTCTCATGCTTAAAATGTGAGAGAGCAGAGATGCTTAAGCATCTTGGACATCCCAGGATCTTACAGCAAAGCCTAACACAGTGAAACAGGTTCAGGCAAAAACTAACCAACTATGAGGAGAGACTACACACACATAATGAGAACAAAGACACTAAAATTACCTCAGCTTCAGTAGCCTATAGACTTGGGTTGAGATTTACCAGAGTTTTTTTAATGGAGATTATAAACATTTGAAAATTTATCTTCACCGACCACTTTAACCAACGTGATTCTGAAACAGCAGCAGTAACTTGCCTATGGGTTTAGGTGAACAAGGAGTCTACTTCTACTTCTTTATTCCTTGGTAACTATGAGTAATCTAAGAGAGGCTTTCCTTCTTTCCCACTACAGATGTGACGCATAAAATTCATTTCAGAGAATGTTAATGCATTGCCCCTAAATACAAGTACTTACACAGTCCTTTTAAGGTTAAAAGGCATGATCAGCCAGCACATTCTTTCTCTCCCACCTACCTCAACAAAAGTATTTAATAGATAGAATCTATGCTAAGTAGTCTTAAAACCTGGTCAAACTAACAGTAATCTTGAAATCACTAAGACCAGCCTAATATTAGAACAGGTTTTAGAAAAAAAATACCTTTCTGCCATCACTTGCATGGCAGTTAACATTTAAGGGTGTAAGAAGAGACATCATCTTTTCTTCATTTCCACTCCTAAAAAACAAAGCATGAAATAAGTAGAATTCTTTTTATACCTATTGGTCTTGTGGTTTTGCTTGCTGTTACATTCTACAGATCTGCTCTAAAGTTATATATTACCCTTTGCACTGTTTGCATTAAAAGACAAAAAAAAAATGTATATAGTAATCTTATTCACAAACAACCCAAGCTTAGTATCTAGAGGGAAAGGCAGCTCGAAAGTTAATATATATTCATTACATGCAAACCACTAGACAACTCTGAAAATGTAATTAAATTCCAGATGTCTTCCATAGAAATACATACCTGGCACTTTCTAAGAGTTCATCTTTCTTGTATTCACCTGAAAGTGGAAAGTGAATTTCTTTAGCTGTTAAATAGCTATATGTGTGAAATTTATGAACAGAAATGTAACTGTTAGCCTCCACCTCCAAAATTTTAGAGAGTACAAGTGCCAAAAATTTTACATCCCATTATGGAGCTAACATAATAAACTACTTATCTAGAACACATCCCATGACTGAATACACGCTATGATGACAAAGGCCACAAAACTTTCTATTTTTATAATTCCAAATTTCTATTTAGAATTATAAAGCTAATATCATAGAAAGAAACAGAATATTGTATAATGTTCAAGTAATATTAGCCAGAATGTGTTCTACATGAATTGGAGATTATCGCTTACCAGTCAACACTGCTTTTGCAGACGGGTCTGCTAAATCCAAAGCTGTTCTCCCATCTGTGTTACGGATGGTTGGCTCAGCACCATGCTGCAGCAATACTACAAAATAGCAAAGTTCCCATGAGAAAACAACTCTGTAAAGCAGACAAATCTATATGGCTTATGAGATCTATCATTTATCTAAACAGGAAGCAACAAAATGAAAAAAAAATCCAGCTATTGCTCCTAACTTCCTCTCTCAATCTCTGTAGGTCAAAAATTCCTAAACATTGTTTGTGGCAGTCCAACTAGTAAAACATGCCTAGACACATTTCATGAGATGAGAGCGGAAAGAGAACATACACCAGCCTGACATCTGGCAATTTCATCTGAAAGATGCGACTAAAACACCCCCAAAGGAAAGGTAGTTACCTCTCATCAGGTCCACAGTCTGCTGCCTCAAAGCCATGACTATGCCCTAAATTGTACAGAGAAGCAGCAGGCCACCCATCTTTCCAGACCTTCACTGGTATATCCCAGTCCAGAGAACATTGCAATATGAATTTAAGTTTCTAAACTATATATATATATATATATATATATATATATATATATATATATATATAGTTTCTGTTGTCTTAAAAAAAAGTAATAATAAATATATATTTATTATATATATATACATATTATATATTATAAATATATATATAATAAATATATATATTTATTATTACTTTTTTTTTTTTTTTAAGACAACAGAAAGGGATGAGTCGATCACAGGAAGAATTCAAGATAGTTACCAATGCAGACATCTGTCTTGCCCTTAATAGCAGCTTCATGAAGAGGAGTGTAATTCCAATTATCCCGAGCATTAGGATCTGCACCATGCCTCAAGAGAAGATTGACAACTTCAGCATGACCGAAAGAGCAAGCGTTGTGAAGAGGAATAAGGCCTCCGTCATCTCGAGCATGAACATTGGCACCACTTTGAAGCAAATATTCAACTACATCCTTCCGACCAAAACCTGGAATAGACAGAGAGTTCCTGTGTTATCTGTTAGGCAAGAAAGGTGTGGGGAAAAAAAAACCCTGTCCCACATACCCAGAGTAAAACAACCCCCTTCCATAAAATCACAGCTGACATTTCTTACTAAGGAAGCATTTATACACTAAGGTTAGCTATGAAATCCCTAGGAACTATATTCAAATAGTCAGAAAAACAGTTTTCAAGGTTACTGGAACAAGAATCAGAAGTTTCTTGCTTCAAAAAAAAAAAAAAAAGAGAGCAGAACACTCTGGCAACAACCCAACCCATCTCTTATGGCTACTAGCAGCATCATTTAGTACAAGAAGTGCAGCAGGGGACACTGTGAAAGCCTCCAGGCAGGTTTTGCAAAGGACTGAACCAAGCAGCAAGTGACGTAGCCTTTGCCTTGAGCTTAAAAATTACATTCAAGACAAACTTTACAGGCAGGACCCAAGATTTTACTGCTTCCTGTAACCAGTCACTCAATATTAGCAACTGACAGGTAAAATGGATTTGTGACATGGATTTGACATGACTGAAATCAGTTGCTTCATTACAAATTTAGAGGGAACTTGCAGCATTTTCTTATCACAGTTTTTAGATAAAAACTAAAAAATAAGTTTGATTATGTTCTTATTCACATAGCTACTTTTTAGGAAGGCATAAGCTGTAATTGACCACCTTTCAGCTCTGCAATTACACAGTGCCTGGCACACAGTCCCGACAAACCAGCAGGTGTTTGTTACAGTAGCTCACAGGGGCATTACAGTGGTTCTGATAATTAGAAGCAGTGGCTGTGGGGTTTTAGACTTCTAAGGCACGTGGGAGACCAGTGGTCCTTAAAAGTCTGGGCCAACAATACTCTGGCAACCGCGGTCCGTTTGTGGAAGGAAAAGTAGCTGAGCCCAGGGAGTAGCAGGGGTAAGGCTGGTTAGAAGCCACTGCATGTACCATTCATATTTCACTTTTAAAAAGCTAAGTAGCACAAGAAAGTATTTTACAGAATAACACCACTTGTATTAAAAAGCAGCTGAGCTGCGCTGCTCTAAGGCTGAAACTCTAAAAGTATGGCTGTCTGCTTTCTACGGATAATTAATATAATACACAGGTAGTTTTCATCTTTGCAATTATCACGTAAGCAGACCCTTAGTGACAGAAAACAAATATCTAGGAGGCCATTCTCTATGGAAGAAGTTTATAATAAGAGTAAATACAACCATAATTTAAAGACAACTCATAAATTGTAATTTCACTGATCCCTACTATGATTATAAATATTTGATTATGACTGAAGCACAAACATGCTTTTACATTCTGTGGCAGTTTTCCAAACTTGCCATTTGAGTTGGGAGGTAGCAAGAAATAGGTGTGCTTGCACATTAGGGATTAGAACCATGTAGATAAACTAAGTTTATAAGACAATATTATAGTTACTAGAACTTAATATTAGCTACATCTTATACATTTATGTAACAGCAAATAAACAAGTATCTCAAATATTTATCAACTGTGCCTCTGTTTTCTCTAGCATCTTCATAAGACACCAGAATGACCTAGGACTTTTACTTATAATCATTATGCCTATGGAGTTATACTCCAAAGGATACTACCACCAAATTCCCTCAAAGGTTTCATGAAGATCTGGATGGGTCTCAGGGATTATTAGGCAGAGAAAAACCATATACTGGTATATATCAGATTTGTGCCAAGTACACAACAGGAAAAACAAGTGCACAATTGCTTTTGTTCTTCCTTGCTTCAAATATTTTGAGTTGCAAATCATTTTAGCCAAAGAGAACAAGAAGAGCGGATGAAGTCTCCTTACAGGAAACAGGAGCTTTCCCCTTAGACCTCATCATCATGCAACTAAAAACAACAATTATATATTCAGACTGTAACAAATTCAAACTTCGCTATAAGTCATCCATGGAAACTCACTGGGTAGAAAGAATTCAAGGGCAGCATAACCCAGAAATTATGTTTATGCCTGATGATTACATGTCAGACAAAGTTACAGACAAGCTAGCATTTTAGTTATAACCGTCACGTTTTTTTCATTGTGTTGTTTATTTAACAAATTCTTCTATTATACTAGCAAAAACGGAAAACGTGAGCAGGAGAGGCTCTCACCTTTGCCATTCTGAGCTCAAAAAATAGATGTCACAATTTTAAGCAATTTTTGGATTCTATTACTTTTCATGCCAAACCAACAAATATGTAGTTAGCCATGCTGAGAGAAAATCCCATATTCAAGTTATATGGACTAAAAACAAAGAAGACAGAAAATGTCTCTGGAAAAGCCTTTTAAAAAACCTTTTCCTTCTCTGCCCTCAAATGTCTGGTAAGGAACTAAATTATACATAACTTTCTATGGATTATAAAGATGCTGTTATGTATAACTTTTTAATCCGAGAATGTCACCAGGGTACTTCCAGAGTAACAGTCCTCACACAGACAAGCTTCAATTCTTCAAAATATATAATTCAAAATTAATTTTTTGGCACTTTTCCCTCTGTAGTACCACATCCTGTGGATCAAACATGCTTTTGGCTCCTAACAGTACATTGCCCCCTATATTATAAGAAGACAGAAGGTCCCTTGCTGTCCTCCCAAGCCTCTTCTCTGAAAAAGATGGTAGAACAAATTTGTGTTAGGTTTCCATATATACACCTCTAGGTCCTACAGATAAAGGTCCTACCTCCTTTTGATAAAAAGGTAATGGTGCTGATGCTTTTTTGTACTATTATACAACACAAGATTTTGCAGATGCATCTGCAATATACATAAATATTATTTTCCCTAATATCCAGAGGGAGCAACTTTAGCTGTTTACTACAGATACCTCCTATCTGGCTGGATGCAGGCTGCAGGTCTAAATCAGCTGCTAGACATGAGACACAAACCCCATACACTTGAAACGTGAATTGTATCAGACCTGCCACACACACCAGAATAACGTCTCTGCACAACCATAGTAAGTCATATTCACCGCACACGCATGTTTGTCACCTAAAAAGCCTATCTACACAACACATATCCATATAGTCCCATCTTCTATATAATAAAATATATGCAGCATATTTCTCATTATTCAATAAAAGTAAATGTAGCTCTCAGTTATAAATATTTTTATTATGTTTCTTCCAAAATTTCTCATGGCTTCAAAATTTTCTAAAATCATTTCAGCTTGAATTCATACTCAAAATTTGCTAAGCTCTTAGGATCTACTCAGACACCATTTTTCACAAGTGTTCACAGGGAAATTATCCACAAGAAACTGCTTAGCACCTTCTTTAGGTACCAAAAATAATTTTTTTTTAAAGGTAAATATGTCAGAAAAAAATCTGTTTCCATTTGCTGCCTAGAAGCTGTACCTCTGGTGGATAAATATCACTCACTTTTGGTACAGAAGACATGCCTGTGCCTCGGTTTTGAATATGAAGTCCTAAAATTAGTGGGAATCAATACAGACATGGATAATTATCCAGCTGTTGTAAATCTCATTATAGGTGCAGAGAAATGACAAGTGAACTAATTCTCTAGAACAGCAACAGGCCCAAACTACCTATAGTTATTTTAATGTGGAGACAGCAGATTATTTACATCGTACCACTTCCTGTAACTTCTCCTCAGCAGTAAGTGCACAGCAGGGATCCCTTAATTCTTCACAGACGCTTCTGTACACAACACGATACATGCAAACAGAAGCATTTTCTCACTATTTTACACATAGGTGTACAAGGGAGGCAGCCAACCTCTGTACAACCACCTCTCCCTCCTCTTTCTTCTCACTGCGAGTGAAAAAATCCTTTGCAGCACAGGACAGGAAGGCAATAAATACTGTTACCATTCTTCTTTGCTATTAGTCCACCACTACAATTTCATTACTTAGTAAGAAAATATGTTATTTTAGAGTATTTTTATTTTTGGCTATCAAGCTTGTAGAAGAAGACCGACTAAATGGTATCGCAGCCCACATACGTGCCAAATAACTGCTGTCTTCATCACAAACACTGTACGCTGACTGCAGAGTAGGAGGCCTGTTTGAGGTCTCCGGTTGACAGTTTTCAACCCATGGCCAAGAAGCAGCTTCATTCATCTGAAGACTTACATACATCTGAAGACTTTAGCTATTAAATACTAACGATCCATAACAAAAGCAAACTTTAACTGTATGTTAACAATAAATACTGTCACATGAACGGAAATTAATCTAATTTAGAGAGGATGAAACGAGACAGAATTGTTCTACTTGTTAGCTCTGGTTCTTCTCCTCTACCCAAGTCCTTTGGTTTTCACATTTGTTTTACCTTGCAAGGTAAAACAATTTTGGTTCTTGCCAAGTTCCTGAAATCTTGTGATCCTTCCAGGTTGACACACACTGCACTGAAAAGGACTGACTGCCTTTAAATATGCACATGTGGCTTATGGTGAAAGATGATCAAACCTAACAGGCTGTAAAGCCCAGGGAACCGTTGACTTCCGTGTGTCTACAACCCATATGCCACACACCTGACTACATATTGCAAATATCCAGACAGCAAACTTTACCACGATCTCAGTATGTCTTGCTTTTAACAGTAGCACAAGGAAACAACTTGGCAGGGAAAGCTTTCAGTTTCAATATCTTTTTTAAAAAAGCTAAGTTCTGATTACAATGCCACTGCAAACAAGAGAAAACAAACAAATCCTACCTATATTATAGCCTCTTCCATAAAACAAAAATCTTGAAACTGATCAACATTAACTGGTGAAGAAAAAAAAAAAAAAGACTATTTTCCAAGAACACGTATCTTGCCTAAAAATGCAATCACACAAAACTTTTGCTTCTACTTCCTGGAATGTAGTCCCTTCAGAGACAGGAAACAGTTTTATTCAATCTGTGAATAACAAGGAAAAAAGTAGGGGGGAAGAAGTTAGTTATAACTATCTCTCACCCATTGTGGGCAGGCTGACAGCAGAAAACTGCCATCTGCAACCATGGAAAGCTGCTAAATTAAGCATTAATGCAAGTATTTTATGCCAGATCTTAATCATAAAGTTTTGGCAGGTCTCGCAGTCTTCTGAGAGCAGCCATTAACAGTTTCCCTATATGAAATCTGAAGGAGACACACTGGGGTGGCCACTGACACCCCATTTACACTGCTTAATATCAGAAATCTAGGAGCACGTTAACTTCTTTTTGTACTTCTTAAAGGAAAAGCTTTTAGGGGTCAGAAATTCTATTTTCCAACTCCAACTGAGATCACTCCTATCCAGAGGCCGACCAAATCCTGCCATTATATAACCAAGCACTAACAAAACAAAGCACAATCGAACAGTTGCTTTCTTCAAAACACAGTAAAACATACTGATTTATTGAGAAGTTCAGAGCTGATGAGTGAACAAGGTCGACTGCAGCGTGTAAAAAGGTAGGTGAAAAACTGTTCTCCTCTGGATATTTAAAGCTGCCTCCTGGGATTGCTTGTGATCGAGTTTCTCAAATTCCTGAAATGGGGCTGTCCTGAAAAGAGGCTTTCAGGAATTAACACCCACTATGTCTTCTGCACAAGAGAAAAGGGCATCTTGACGAGACATTCTGAAAAACAATTCAGCCAAGAAACCAATGTCTCCATTAAACCCGTGCTGCTCGGCAGGTGAGAAGCTGCTGCCCTTTGCAGTCTCCTTACACGTAACTGCCGCTACCGGAGACACAGGAGGCAAACGGGAGCCAGGGCCAGGTCTTTGTGTGGGAAAGGTGGGATGCATTCCCGGGCCGGGCGCCAGGAACGCGGGCACTCGGCGATGCCACCGATTTGCGGGCCCGGCGCCGCACTCGCACAGCAACCGCTTGCTGGCGAGGAGGCCGCGTGAAGCGACAGGAAATCTAAAAATAAGCGGGATTAGGGAAGCCCATGGAAACGGTACCCGCGACGCGCGCCCCTCGGCGGGCGCCCGGGCCCCGCACTCAGCCGCGAGGCGCTGGGCGCCAGCCGGGAGCCAGGCCACAGAGAAGGGCACTGCCGGAGGGAGAGGGAGCCCCCGGGCGCCCCGGTGACCCCGCGCGGGCGGCGCCGCCGCCAACACAAAATGGGCGCTGGGAGCGCGCGGCGGCCGGTCCGGGCCGGGCCGGTCCGGGCCGAGGCGGGCGGCCCTACCTGCGGCGAAGTGCAGCGGGCTCGACTTCCTGCCCGCCGTGTCGCGGCTGTTGACGTTCTCGGGCCGCACGAGCCGCTTCACGCGCTCCACGTCGCCGTTGCGGCAGGCCTCGAAGAGC